AAGAAAGATTGGGCAATCTACTTCCATAGTGATACTGCCTTGGCAACCCAAGGAGGGGTCCCTATGAGTCAGATCCGACTCGACAGCAGTGAGTTTTCGTTTGAGTTGTATGATATCTGTATCAATAGACTTCTGTTTATCTCCTAATAGGATTGAAAAAATATAGTAAAATTGGATCTATTACTGATAACATTTTCACATTATACTATGACCATTTGGGATTCGTACATAAACTGACTCCAAATTGGTTTGAAGCTGATCGGTCATCATCGGCCACTGGAAGTTCGAAAGCTATTTTTACAAAGGTCAGTGATATAATGTATTGAAACAATTTGTCTTATTTTAAGAATATATGTCGCATTCTATATACAGAATAATGGGAATAAGTTCTTTGGGACAAGTGCTTATTTCTCTTTACTAAAGGAAAAGCCTCCATACATCTTCTTTCAAGGCCCAAACAGGGTTCTATAGATTTAATTCCATGTAGGATATTTTCACACAGGTATATTCACAGCAATACACCACTAGATAGTTTAACCAAGGGCCATTACTGCCAATCCACTTCAAGGATGGGTTTGATTCTGTACCTTCTAAGACTGGTCTTAGAACATGAGTTCTGTGTTTCCCACTGCTTTTTCTTTCCTCTTTCCCATTTACCCTGCTCCACAGTTTCTTCCTCTTCTAATACTAACATATCAAAAAAAAAAAGAGAACTCATTGCCATTGAGTTGATTCCGACTCATAGCAACTCCCTCTGGGTTTCCAAGGTGGCAAATCTTTACAGAAGTAGATTGCCCAACCTTCCTTCCAAGGAGTGGCTGCTGGGTTTGAACTACCAACCTTCTGGTTAGCAGTCAGATGCCTTAGGCACTATGCCACCAGAGCTCCTTGATACTAACATAGAAAAGAATTATTATCTTCTTGAGAGGTGATACTAGATATGGATTTTTATAATAATTTTAATGTATAATATGTCACTTTTAAAGATATACATGCCTAAGACTTCACCACTGGGCAAATACACAGTCATGAAAATTAATACTCAACAATATAGCAGCAAAGACTCAAATAGATTCCCTGCAAAGGAATGAGTTATAATAAAAAGCTGCCTTTTGGCGTGAATGGAAATACAGCTACTTCTCATTTACTGACTATCTCATTACCCATCATTTTGTATTTACAACAATAATAAAAAATCTACTATCTGGCTATTTTGCACATTAATAATATAGGTCTGGCCATAATAAACACCGAGGTGTGAGGCAAGAGTAATTCTGGCTCTGATGGTTAAGGTTATATGGCAACTTGGCTGGGCCATGATCCTCAGTGGTTTGGCAGTTACATATATATGTTGTTATTATTTGCTGTCGAGTCGGACCCGACTCATAGCGACCCCTCCTTGGGTTTCCAAGCAGCATGACTATGGAAGTAGATTGCCCCATCTTCCTTCCAAGGAGTGGCTGGTGGTTTGAACCACTAGCCTTCTGGTTAGCAGTCAAGTGCCTTAGGCACTACGCTACCAGAACTCCCTGCATATATATATAATATATGATATAATTTGGCAGTTATATAATGATGTGGTCATCCTCCATGTTTACACAATGCCAATTTTCACTTAACAACCTGGTCTTTGGAACCTAACTATGTCAGTAAGTGAGGAGTAGGTGTAGAATAAAGGATGAATCTAGTCATAAAAAACCATTCTAATATCACCAGATCAAGACTGTGGTTAAGAGGGCGATGTTTTAGCTTTCTCTGTCTAAGATATATGTAGATGACGAGGAGTAGGAACTTCTTTGTGAGAGTGAAAGGCACATGCTTGATTCTGTGATGGGGATTCTGCAAGTGCACAAAGTAAGGGAGGTGAGAGAAGAACTAACCAAGAAAGCAGTTACCTCAGCTTTCCACTAACCTCACAATTTGTAGAAAATGTCTTCATTCTCTTATGCAGAAATGTAAATTACTGATTTCAAAAGTGCATAGAGATTTTTATACTCAGGATGAGGTCAAGGGGCTCACACTTAGCTGTCTCACCCACCTGTCCCCAAACAAACCACATACATATCCTCTCCAGATGAAAGGAACTGCTGAACTTTGGCTCTTTCTATGTGCCAGGCATGTTGTGAGCTCTTTTCCAAAGTTTTTTATTGCTATTTACTTATGAGGAAAGTGAGGCACAGAGAAGCTAAATAATTTACGTAAAATTACACAATTCATATGTTATGAAATGAGGCATGCATCCCAGACAAATGACTCCAAGGCCTGTGCTCTTAGCTGCTGTACTGCCTTTCACTGGACTTGCGTGTACTTTCCATGGGATGCTCTCGTCACACGCCAGGCTGGGATTCTAACTAATTTTCAGCCTTTTCAGTAATTTTCAAGAGTCCTCAAGCTGTCTGCACTGTCCCACACTTACTCTGTTTGCATCTCTTTTCCATTCACTTCCCTTCTCAGTGAATTCCCAAATTTAAGAGACCAGGAAAAAAGCCATGGTAGAAAATGAGTCTTGGAAGCACTATTTAATAGATGTGTCCCCACCATTCTGCACTATCTAACGCCCACTCCTCATCTCATAGCAATGGGGTCAAACCCTTCATAGCACTTTGGAAATGGTCCCCACCTCTCTTCTCAATCATAAAAGTTCCCAAAGATGAACAGGATCAAGAAAGGAGAAGAGTGTATTGAAAAAAAGACCTGGGGGTCAGAAATCTGGGCCAAAGATGCTCGTGTTGACTGCAAGGGAAAGCCTTATGAATCAAAGGAAGTGAGAAAGGCATATACAACCTGAATCGGAAGACTTAGACAGTAGCCTGCAGAGTCACCAGCATTAGACTAGGGGGGCAGCAGTTTTCAAGAGAGGGGAGGTGCTTCACCACCCCTTTCCTAACAGAACTCCAAATAACCTAGCTGTAGAATCTGCACCTCCACACTCCTCCCCACAACAGAGGTAACTAGGGGTGGCTGGCAATGTCACATTTCCATACAACCTTCCTCTCCAGCCCTCTACAAAGACCACAGGGATCTTATCCCGAGCCTTAGTCATCAGAATTTCTTTTCCTCTTCAACACAAAGGGAGCTCTGGTAGCGTAGTGCCTAAGGCACTTGACCACTAACCAGAAGGCTGGCGGTTCAAACCCACCCGCCACTCCTCAGAAGGAAGATGGGGCAATCTACTTCCGTAGTGATACTGCCTCGGAAACCTGGCCAACTCAACAGCACATAACAACAACAACTTTAACACAAAAATACATTTTCCCTTGCACATACATATTCAAACAGAATAGACTGAGATATTACTCCAGTTGATAAGAAAACAGTATTCCAGTGAACTGGAAATAAATCTGCTCTTTGTGTTTTGTTACTAAAACTCACTGCCATCTAGTCAATTCAACTCATAGTAACCCCTCCTTGGGTTTCCAAGGCAGTATCTTTACAGAAGTAGATTATCCAGTCTTCCTTCTGAGGAGTGGCTGGTGGGTTTGAACTGCCAACCTTCTGGTTAGCAGTCAAATGCCTTAGGCACTATGCCACTAGAGCTCCCCTATTTTGTCACAGTTGAATATAAAAATAGCTTAAATATAATATTTGCTTTCTTTGTATTCCAGACTTCTGACATGGGCTTTGAGACTGCACTTGCTCCGCAGTACATCTCCTTAAATGAAATGATTATTTTTGCGTATGTACCTTCAAATGAACCTGAGGCAACTAAACACACCAAGAGATTCAGTAATATTCACTTTGGAAAAATGCTACATAGCAGGTAGTGATTTGCTTCACATTTATTTAAATTGCATTTGGTTTCTAGAGTCTAAATTTTGACCCCATTTTTTTTTTTTAATAATTGTCTTGGTCAAATTGAGTAAGTCTTTTTTTAGGCACTCTGCATGACCAAATACATTATAGACTCCAAGTTGTCTTGTACAATTCTCCAATTTTAAAAACATGGGGCCATTTATATCAAACTATAGAAGTGTGTGTTTGTCATATTGGGGATCAAACCTGTTTGGACCACACTGGTACTGCTTATCCATAGTTCACTTTCAAGGCAATTGAACATCTAGAGACAAACACATCTAATGTAGTGGGCGCCATCTTGGATGGAATGCTTCATGATACAGAAGTCTTAGGAATGCTTACTTCTACTGAGATCAGCCAGAGCCAATGACTTGAAAACTAATTTTAAGGCCTGCAGACTCTATTTTAAGGACACTATGAATTATTTAATTCCAAAAATCCAACAACTAGGGACCAATTTCAGGTTATAAGAAACTCATCCTGTCTCAAATGTGATGGAACATTCTAGCAGGTTGAAATCTGCAAATCACATATGTATTTAGCTGTCAATAGCTTGTCCCAGAGCAAGCAATTCCACGCACCATGGTGCAGCTAACTCGGAGGTAGGGATGAAGATGGGAATCATATATAATATAACAAATGCTATCAGGCCCCCCCCCACACACACACACACACACACACAAGGACTGTAGAACTTTCTGTCTCTAGGACAACGGTCAGTGGTCTCTAGAGGTGTTTTTTATTTAGATGGCTGCTGTACATATGACACTTTAAATCGGTTCCTTTCTGTTTATGTAGGGATGTTCTCAGAGAAAAAGGGTCTCTTTTCTATAGACTAAGATATCATTACTATTTCTTAGGATGTAATTGGTTTTTGAAATTATATGATAATTCTAATAAAGATCAAAATATTTGAAAACTCAAACAGCACATTGTGTGATCAGAGTCAGTAATTGAAACTTTGCTTTATTTGCAAATGGGCAGATAGGGAATGGGCAGTTCCAAGGAAGGAACACAATGGGGACACAATGATTAAGTGCCCGACTGTCACCAATTTGACAGTTCAGACCCACCAACTGCTCTGTGGGAGAAAGGACAATAAACCACTAGCAATGTGCTCCTGCAAAGATTGAAAAAACAAACAAACCCATCACCTGCCAGTCTATTCTGGCTCATAGTGATCCGATGGGACAGAGCAAAACATAGCAACCCTATAGGACAGAGTAGAACTGCCCCAAAAGGTTTCCAAAGCTGTATATAATCTTTCCAGAAGCAGACTGCCACATCTTTCTCCTCAGGAGCGACTTGTGTGTTTGAACCATCAACCTTTAGCCAAGCACTTAACCACTGAGTGATCAGGGCTTCCTCTATAAAGATTAGAGCCTGGGAAACCCTATGGGAAGTACTACTCTGTCATATACAGTTGATATGAGTCAGAACAGACTCAACAGCACACAACAAAAACAACAGCAAGGCAGGAAATAGCAAAGAACAGGATCAGAGGCCTGGAGAGCAAGCAGTATTTTAGGTGGAAAGTGAAGGATTTGGGAGCTCAAAGTCAAGAGATCAACAACAGGCCAAAGGCAGATACTAGGAAGTAGGAAGTCAGAGTTGGGAGGGAGACATTCAGTTAGTCCACAAATAGTTATTTACCGCTTACAATACGTAAGGCACAAAAGGCTAAGTATTGTGTGATCCCACTTCAATAAAACATCTAGACTAGACAAGTATATAGAGACCAAAGGTTATTAGTGTCGCCAGGGGCCAGCAGGAAGGAGAGGGGAGAGGAGGAGTCAGTGCTTAGGGCACACTGAGCTTCCGTTAAGGCTGATGGTGCCATTTGGGAGCAGGTGAGGGTGATGGTTGAAGAACATAATGAGTGTCCCTGAACTGTACACGTGAAGTTGTTGAAATGCCAGATGTCTTGTTACATATCTATTTACCACACTAACAAGAAAAAGAAAAATAGCACACACTTGTCAAAAAGCTTAAAGGTAAAAACAAACAAAAAACAGCTTGGGAACTTTTAGGCCTCACAGATATTATGCACATAGTCCCTGAACACATTTGAGTACAGGATGGTGTTAGAAATTCTCTCTAGAGACTTTTTCTTTTTCATCCCCTTTCCTTCCTGAGCCAAGAGAATGGGGTCCCCGTAATTTTCTCCATCAGTCGGGTTTCTCTTCCTGGAATAATCCCCAAAAGGATTGCTCTTTGGAGCTCCAGGCCTCATGTGATGAAAAGCCTCACTTGGTGGGGTCCTGATTGCTGCCTATATAAACATTAAATCCTGGTGTCTAATTTGTCTCCAGCCTTTGTATGTCTCAGGAATGTGCAAATTCTTATGCCTGTGTCCCTCCAGGAGGATCCCTGGTGGTGCCGTGGTTAAGAGACTGGCTGCTAACCAAAAGGTCAGCAGTTTGAACTCACTAGCCACTCCTCTTCAGGGAAAAGATGTGGCAGGCTGCTCCCATAAAGATGACAGCCTTGTAAACATGGGTATACGGGTGGAGAAATGGGTGGACAGGCTGAACTGTGAGGTATGTCTATGTAGCAGGGAGTGTACCCAAGACCATGTATAGGTTTGGCAGACAATAAGTGTATTTGTATGATCTGTATGAATTCCCAAGTGTATAGTAGAGTTGACAAGGGACAAAATTGTAGTCACTTCTTGGTCAAAGCCAGCTACCTAGAGGGACCAAGTAGTTGAACCTGTGGGCTCACGACCATGGTCGCAGGGGACATCAAGCTCAATTGGCATAACATACTACACAAAACATTGTTCCACTTCCTACTTTGGCGAGTAGCAACTGGGATCTTAAAAGCTTGCAAGCAACCATCTAGATGCAACAATGGGACTCTCCTCACCCAGAGCAAAGAATGAAGAAATCAAAAAATGTGTGGAAACAATTAGCCCTGGCAACTGGTACACCATCTGATCTGCAGCCTATACACCATGAGACCAGAAGAACTAGATGGTACCCGGCTACCACTGTCAACCACTTGGAGGGGGTCTATGTAGGAGATCCTGGATAGAGAGGGAGAACAATGTAGAACAAAACTCAAAATCATTTGGGAAAAAAAAAGGGGGACCAGGTTTGCTGGTCCGATAGAGCCTGGTGGAACCACTGAGACTATGGCCCCAGCTGCCCTTCAGGTCTGAAACTGAACCTACACCCGTGGCTTCCAGCCAAACAAAAGACAGGCATAGGAGCTAAACATTTACTTGAGGTAGATACACTCCTTGGAGAGAATAATCACGGGAGAAAGAAGGGCTGTTTATGCACAGGGAGACAGCTCAGGGGGCAAGGGTGCATGGAGGGATGGACACAGGGAAGAGGTAACTATGGGGAGCTGTTGCATTGTGGTAAATTGTAGTCAATGTCATGAGACAAAGTGTATGTGAACTGCTGTATGGAAAGTGAATTTGCTCTGTAAACTTTCACCCAAATCACAATTTGAAAAAAAAAAAAAAATAGGGAGGGGGAGATTACAGCCTTGGAAATTTTATGGGGCAGTTCTACTCTGTCCTACAGGGTCCCTGTGAGTCAGAATCAACTCAACAGCAGTTGGTTAATGGATATGTCCCTCAAACACCAAAAGATGTATTTCGATTTATAACCAACCCCCTTGGAGCCCTTCTCGGCTTAATGAGAAAGAGCTCCACTGTCTGCTTGTTTTCTGTGTCGGGTGGAGCAGAGATGAGCAGTGAAAGGTGAAGCCCACCAATGACTTCTGCTTCTTGAAAAAAAACTCTGAAACTTTCATTTATCTTGAAGGAGCTAGGTTCAATTTGATTTTATTTTTTAACATTTTGTGATTGGGGCGATAGTTTGCCGAGCCATTTGGTGTCCCATTCAACAGTTCCTGCACATTTGGTGACGTTGATTGCAATCCCCACAATGTAACAGCACTCTTCCTACTTCCTCCTGGTGTTTATGCTTAGTCCTTCTATCCTATCCCTTCCTGCCTTCTGAGCTTTATCTCTGGGCAAATGCTGCCCTTTTGATCTTACATTTGATTGTTCTAAGAGGATCTACCTCCCTGGTGTCACTGCTCCCTATTGTTTGGCTGAAAATTGAGCTGGGGGCCAGGGGTGTTGAGTTCCAGGCTTGAAGGCTGCCCAAAGGCCACAGTCTCAGGCTCCCACCAGTCTCTATCAGACCAGTGAACCTGCTCTTTTTGGAGAGTACTATTCCGGCTGCAGTACAGAGAACGAGTTGGCAGCTCAGATGGTGGAAGCAGGTCCATCAGTTAGAAGGCTTCTGCCAGACTCCAGATTAACAGTAGTGGTGCTTTAGTTTAGAATGTTGATAGCAGAAGCCCTGGAAGATTTTGTCTTAAGGATACATAAATGCTTAAGTTGGTCATGCATAAACTCTGGAATTGTTGTGCCCAGGTTGTAAAGGAGAATTTCGGAAGAGAAGACGCTAATCCACGCTAATGCAAATGCAATAGGACAGTTTATTAGCTAACTTAAGTCAGGGTTTTTGCTCTTACCAGGTCAGTGGCTTAAGCAAAAGACCCCGTACCCCGTTTCTTTCTCCAATTTATGGAACAATATGGGGAGGGGCAGCACCGGGGCGAGGGGGTACAGGTGATTGGTTGTTGCTAAGGGATT